CTATCACAGGCTGTGATTCCCTTCTATGTTCAAGCACAGTTGAGCTTTTTGTCATTTGCAATGGCCAGAACCTCAACTAAAAGGCCTTCCCCCAGTAGAAACACATGTACTTGGAGAAAGCAAATGGTAGAAAGTCTTAACAACCGTGACACCCAGATTTACTGTGCTGTTTGCATTAAGAACAGCAACTTGAACTTTGCACATTTGCATATATAGTGATCTCTATGGAGAACTATTCGAACTCTATGGAGGCTGTAGCAATATATCTCTATGGAGACTATAGCGATCTCTATGGAGAACTATTCCATCCCTACAGGCACTTTTCTCTGACACATGTTAGACTCACATGTTCCCCTCGCCACCTTCCTGACCGGTAAACTTGTGAAAGGCTTTTTATGGTGTGGATGCTCTCAACACCTCATTGCTCCTTCAGTGCTCTGACATCCATGAGAGACAGGACGATACCAAACCAAACAAGCTACTCTGTCACTCTGCATTGAACTCTGTGGCCCAGATCCATGCATGGACTGGTGCAAACAAAGAACAGTGGTGGAAAACAGCTGAATGCTGAGTTCAGGTATTACTTTTAAGTGCCATTTGACTGGGCCTTCTCCGATGACAGGGTTCACTGGCAGGAAAGCTGTTATTTCAACAATCACTGCTCCTATTTACTGCCCATTAGAAGGGGAGTCACTGGGAGGCCAAACTGCCTCAAAAGCTGGGTTTTCTGAGCACTCAAGGTCAGGTTCAAAGGACAGCAATCAGGTAGAAGAGCAAGAGCAGATACTCAGTCCTTTGAGCTTTGAGCTTTACTATCCCCAACATATCACACACTTTGGGAAAGGAAATCAGAGTGACGGTGTTAAGATCATATACAAAGCTTTTTCCATAGCAGCAGTCTCCCTGAGACACAGACCATGCCTTTATTTTATTTTATTTTATTTTAATTAATCCATTTGTTTTAAGTAATCAAATTTTTCTTTTGAGAGTTTGATACTGAGTATTACATTTGCATCATTTCAGCTCCTCTGGTTCTCTCTTCAATTCCTCCCATTCCCCACCACTTCCTCCTGATTTATTGTCCTTTTCTTTATTATTGTTACACATACATATAACATATATAGTATATGTGCATATATATATACATATATATGGCACTGAGTTCATTTAGTGGTGCTAGTGTGTACATGTGCTTAGAGATGATCACTTGATCACTTGAGAATAGATAACTTTTTAGGGAGATAGTTCCTGGAGAAAACTAATTCTCTCCCACTGAGTTATCCATGGATATTACCCTTCATTAGAGGTGGGACCCCATGAAAATTTCCCCATCCACATCATCCACATAGATATAAGTGCAGGCAAGTATAATTCTCACCACTTATCAAAGAAGCATCTCTTTACAAGATGTACATGACTTTATTTTAAAAGCAACCCTCCTCACTCCTGCCTAGCATTGTGTCTTACACAAAGTGGGTACTCATTAACAGTGACATTTAAAAGCTGATGGTTTGGGGATGGAAGGATGGCTCATTGGTTAAGAGCACTGGCTGTTCTTGCAGAAGATCAGGTTTCAAATCCCAGCATTCACATGGTAGCTAACAACCATCCCTAGCCCTAGCTCCAGTTCCAGGGGAATCTCTTCTGTTCTCTGTGGGCACTGCATGACACAGATGCACTTACATACATGCAGGAAATATACACAGACACATAAAATAAAAATAATAAATAAGGTATTTTTTAAAGCTGCTGGTTAAGCATACAAGCTAAGATAATCTTCAAATGATGAGCCCATCATAGTAGTTGCTCAAGAAATCCTTGTCATTTAGCATCTTCAACAAATGGGGCAAAAATGGATCTCCACATGTAGAAGAATGAAATTATACTTATATTTATCTCCCTGCAAAAAAAGTCCACTCCAAATGGATCAAAGACCTCAATGTGAAACCCAAAATGCTGACACTGTTAGAAGAAAACATAAGTAGTACCCTACAAGATATAGGCACAGGAAAGGACTTTCTAAATTGGACATCAGTTGCTCAGGAATTAAGGTCCATAATTACAAATGGGACCTCATTAAATTAAAAAGGTTCTGTACAGCAAAGAAAACAACCAATCAAGTGAAGAGGAAGCCCACAGATTGGGGAAAATATGTATCCAGCATATATCTGATTGAGGATTAATATTCAGAATATGCAAAGAACTCAAAAAACAAAGAATCAAGAAAAAAATGACCCATTTAAAAATGGCCTATGAATCTAAAAAGAGAGCTCTAAATAGAATAAAAGTGATTAAGAAACACTTAAAAAGTGTTCAACATCTTTAGGGAAATGTAAATCAAAACCACTTTAAGAGTTCATCTTTTACCCCAGTCAAAATGGCTAAGATCAAGAGGACAAATGACACTATATGCTGATGACGATGCAAGGAAAAAGGAACCCCATCATTCACTGTTGGTGGGGCTGTAAACTGGTGCAACCACTGTGGAAATCAGTGTGGAGAACTCTTAAAAAACAAAGATAAATCTACCATATGATCTGCTTATACCACTCCTTGGCATATACCCAAAGGAACCATCCTATTGCAGAAAAACTTGCACAGTCATTCGTTGCTGTTCTTTTCACAATACTTAAGAAATGGAAACAACCTAAATATCCCTCAACTGATGAATGGATAAAGAAAATATGGTACATTTACACAATGGCATTCTAGTCATCAGTAAAGAAGATGAAATCATAAAATTTTCAGGAAATGGATGGAATTAGAAACTTATACTAGATGAAGTATCAGATGCAGTAAAACAAGGGACACATGCTCTCTCTCATTTATGAATCTTAGTTCTAAATCCTTGGAGTATATATCCTAATGTAATTGCAGGAGTCAGGAAAATGTAAAGAAACCATGGGGGTTAAGGGGAAGAAGGATCTTGAGAGACAAGGATAGTAAGAGATAGGCTATCAAGGGGGAAATGGAGGTACTTTAACAGGGGAGGGAGGGGGAGGGTTATACGGGGGAAGAGAGAGGTGAGATAAATAATGTTTAAGTGGTATGGAAAACCGGAGGGAAATGTATTAGTTCAAAAGCCTACTGAAAAATACACAATATATTGCAATATGTGTGTGTGTGTGTGTATGTGTGTGTGTGTGCGCGTGCGCATGTGTGCATGTATATAGTTGAATACTGTATAACAAGAAACACAATGCCAGACAGGAGAAATCTCCCTTTGAGTTGTTGGTCAGGGCAGTTCAAGAGACTTCTAAAATAACATTGTATTATCACAGTCCTTGATTGCTTCCCAAAACTTGAAAATAAAGCCGTATTGCTGAAGATATAACATACTTTGGACACAGAACTTGGAGAAATGGAGCTGGAACTGACCTGATAGCCTCCTCTCTGAGGACTAGCTCTCAAAGTATCAGAGGATACTAGGCAAGCTGTCAAGGGAGAAAATCAATCAATGGTCCTAGCCAGTTCTAAAGTATAATAAATACAGCAGTGACTGGCCCAGGGAACAATCTCTTATCTTGTGGATAATTGCCAGGCATCTAATTGGATGTAAGGCCCACCCAGTGGAAGGGAACTCATGAGTAGTACTGTAAAAATGGTCAAATACACAAAGCTGGAGAGGTCATAGACCCTGGAGAAAAACCTACTTTTGTCACATTGTTCAATCAACCTGATTTTTTTAGTGTGTTCTAAATATGTATCCTTATATTTATAGACAAGTACAATTTTCACAACTCATAAGAAAGGCTTCATTTTGCAACATGACAGAGTTCCACAGCTGGTCATACACAGAGAATAAGTGTCTGAGAGATGCGCATCCCAAAGTGACATATTTACAATGCGTCTACACCTAAGGCTCAGGAAGCATAGTAGAAGAGGGGACATAAAGACTATTAGTGCATCTCTCAACTCTCACCAGTGAAGCTTCTTCATGCAACAGATAGTGATTAACTCAGAAAACCACAACGGGCCAAAGTGCTGAGTTCTTGTCCCTGGGTAGGATACCTATCAAACCTCTGCCACCCAAGACACAGGGACCATTTTGTGAAGAGGGGGCAGAAAAACTGTAAGAGCCAGGGGTGATGGATGACCACAAGGAAACAGAGTTTTGGGTGGCTAGAAAGTTTCTCATATGAACTTATAGCAATAGTGACAGCATGCACAAGACCCATTCAAGCTCAAAACATACAAAAACCCAGCATAGAACTTGGGAAATGGGTAAGAAGCCCCAACCTTAGCTGAGGAACTATTGGCAGCCAATGACTACTGGGAGAGGGAGAGGTGGTTTTCTTTAAGGAAACGACACTAAATAGGTTGACTCGGCTCCACTGAATGGACTCACACTGAGGGACATTTGGGACACAAGTATGGCTTGTTAAGTCTTAACTTATATAAGAGAACGCATGAAATTCGGTGTGGGGGTGCTATGAGGGGTGCAGGTAGAGGTGAGGGCTTAAAAATGATCATGATGTATTGTATGAAATTTTCAAAAACTCAGTAAGAAAGAATAAAAGTCATTAGAGCAAGCTGCACAATTATCAAGAAGATTGAAATCCTTACCATTAATATCATTATGATTCTATCACCCCTAAAGGATCTATTTAATTAATGAGTGGGTTCATTAAAATCCACATAAACCTTTTAAGCACTAATTTCATCTCCCTTTCTTGCAACAGCTCTATAATCAGCTCGAGTTACTCTCCCTGCCTTTCACATGTCACCATAGAAATCAAACTATTCATTAACTTGCTCATTCACCCATTCAACAATTAGGGATCACATGTAATTTGCCACATATTTGAAAGTATGTTAGGGAATGAATGTTGATTAAGACCAATTGTTCCCATAATGCAAAGGCATGGAGTCCGTTGGAAGGGACAAGAAAACCAAATGGACTGTGGAGGAGAGAACCAGCCTACGGAATGACATAACTTCAGTGGCTCCAAGTGATGGGGGAACCTAGGGGAAATTGCCACTGAAGACATTTTCCTCACCTTCTCTGCAAGCCAGCCAAGATGCCTGATCTCTCGACTTCCAGCAATGCCTGTCTTTCCCAGCTGCTCTCTGACCTCAGCAATTACGCGGGTCAGCAGGTCACTGACATTAGAATGGATAGCACTGAACCAGGCCTGGGCGGTGGCAGAGTCCTTACTCCTTAGGATCACCGTGTGCTTAGCATCAGGGGAGTGGATTTCCAGCTGCCTAGGGAAGCAAGAAGAGAGAAGAGTTAGAGGGTGACCTGGTAGATCCTGTACTTGGAATACAGTTCAACATAGCACATCTGTAACCACCAAATCCTGCCTCTATCTGGCACCCCTGCCAAATCAAGGGTATCTGTTTTCCTGTTATGCAGCTGATTGTTAGTCACTGTTCATTTCATCAGCAGAAGATTTCAGTTGTAGACTTGCCGTCTTTGCTGTTGGGAGGCGGATACTGAAATAACTAGCCATTTTTTTTTTTTTTTTTTAAATTGAGACAGGGTCTCCCTGTAGCTCTAGCTGGCCTGGAACTCTTTTTGTAGACCAGGCCGCCCTTAAACTCAGGGAGATCTGCCCACCTCTGCCTCCCCAGTGCGGGGATTAAAAGACTGACCACCATGCCCAGCTCACTGAGCCATCTTGGTAACCTGAAAAGCTGTATTTTTGGATGTTGATTCTGATGTTCCATATAAAACAGTGACACTCAGAGTCTCTACAGGCCAAGAGAAATGAGTTGGCTCTTGACAGCAGCCACCCTGCTCCCCAATGCCCTTGCTGGATCTGGACTAGATCATCACAGGAGTCCAGCCTCTGCTGCCAAGTGAATCACTAACTGACAGGCTGCCGGGCTGCCCTGGTTTAAGAAGGAGCTAATGAGCACAGGGTCAGGGGTTCAGTTCCTTTGAGGTCCAGTTGACCTTCATACTCAGGCAGTCCTAGGCATGTCATAGATTGACTGGGCAAGTCAAGAACAGTGCTGTCAGCTCTATTAGAAAATCAACCCTAGCTCAAAGCCCTCCTCAACTACAGCCTTGTTCATAAGCAGTTGCAAAAACGTCAGCACAAATCTTATGAATGCACCTCAGCCATTGCTGAGGAGTCAAGGAAGCTAAGCTGCTTGACTCCTCCTTCCCCTCAAAGGCTTTTACACAGATTCTCGGGCAGCTTCATCATGAAGAGCAGATCCCTCTACTGACTCCAGGCTAGAAGCCTGAATGAACTCAGGGAGATCTGCCCACCTCTGCCTTCCGAGTGCTGGGATTAAAAGCATGTGCCACCATACCCAGCACTAGCCACATTCTTAATCTTATTGCCTAGTGTTAATTAATTAACATAATTTTAAAATTGGCCAAGCATTATATTATTATCTTTCCTTTTTTAATATTTTTTTTCTCAGTCAGGCTCTCATGTAGCTCAGGTTGGCCCCACATTCTCCAGGTAACCAAAGATGACCTTGAACTCTTAATATCCTGTCCCTACCTCCTAAGTGCTATGATTATAGATGTATACAACTCCATCTTGCTTAGCAAACACTGTATTTTTTAGGAGCCTTGTTTGAGGCACATTTTAAGTACCATTGCCTCACTGGATTCTTGCAGTGATGGAGAATGTTGCCCTAGGAGGGGGTAATAGTGTAGAAAGAGATCCACTAAAAGACTCATATTTAATCAAACACCAAAGCTTATGTCAGAGTTCAAGTTAGATTATTTGAGATACGTGTAAGAGATTTATCGTAAGTGTGTTGATGGGGGAAGTTTTAGATAGATCATATTTGTTTGTAGCTTGTTATTGTGAGGTAATTACAGTTAACTGGGAGTTGTATAAATAGTTAAGCATTCTGAGCGTCCTCCACCAGTTTCTCCTGATGGTTGTATTTTACATACTATACTATGATATCAAAAAGAGGAAACTGTCATTATACACTTCTATGCAGCTCCATCATGTGTAGATCTGTATAAAGGCCACTGTAATCCTGATGCAGAGCTAGTCTATCAATGCTAAGATTCCCCAGCTTCTCACCACCATCCTAGATGCTTTAGTATAGAAATTTTTCTATTCCAAGGAAAAATTTGCATTTATTTTTAGTCATTCATATTGGTATTAGAAAGATATAAAAATTGGGAAATTAAAAACTGAATAAAATTATCCATTTATTAATCTCATTTTACTCCTTTATAATTGTTACCATGTACTGAGAATTTGCTATATTCCACAGAAAGACTTAAATCCTTTGATATAATAAAAATATGGCATTGCCAATAGCCTTATGACATATTAACCTGATCTAACATAGTTAGAAATTGGTTTGAAGAGAGAAAGAAATAATTTACTCAAGGCCACAAAGCTGGTGATGTTGGGATTTAAGCCTATGTGAGCCTATGAATTCAAAAGCCAATTTATAATGCCTTTGCTTTAGATGAGGCAGCATCAAATGGGAATAACCAACTACTGTCTTCTATAGAGGGCTGAAGACTGGTATTCATCATCTGGAACGTGTCTACTAGTGTCCTACTTAGTTTCTGAGTTGCAAGATAACAAATTTTTTGATCATCTGAAAGTTAGACAAGGCAGCCTGGCCCCATTAACATTTGAAACCGACCTTTGGGAGCAAATCTTTTAACTCATAAACCTAAACTGTAGAAAAGAAATGGTTTGCAAAGTGGGGTGTCTCAAGAGGAGTTTTAGCAATAATTAGCCTTCTTTGTAAGAAATTTGCAAACAAATCTCCTCAGCAACAATCTGAAAGCTTTATGTGACAAGGCAGTGGAATCTGGCAGTGATAATTGTTCTCAAAGGAAAAAAATGCCATTTCTCTTTGGGACTTTTCAAAGAAAGAGGCAGGAAGTCTAGGGTGGGCTTCCCACTCAAAGTGCGTAAAATACACTCTAGGATTCTAGAAAAGTATTAAGGAGAGCTTAACTTGCCTTTAAAAGCATTCTATCTATCTCTATTGTTCTAGGAAGGTAAAATATGCAAATACTTCATTTATAGTATTTTCCTTTGAATACCTGGGTACTTGTTTTAAAAGAAATGACAGTTTGGAAAGCAGCCTCTCTCTCTCTCTCTCTCTCTCTCTCTCTCTCTCTCT